AAAAAAAGCTTTGTGTTAGGCAAAATAAATATGAGCCTTTGTAGTTTCCAAAAGGCACTGTATGTTCCTTGTAACCACAGCACCCACCAAAATATGTGTCCCAAATACAACATGGCCACTGAAAAATGTTTTACGAGAAATAGGCATTTCAGGCTGGAATATTATATATCTATGTTCAAGTCTGTGGAGGTCTCTGTTATTGTAGGTGGCAACACTATTTATTTTCAGCTTGCCTCAGCTTATTTTCTGTGGTGATGTAAATATTGGGAAGGTGGTCACTTAGAGAGGTTTTGGAATATTTGACAAGTTGCTCAGTTTTGTTCTGTGAGCAGCCCCAGTCTGTGACGAGGAAACTACTTTTGAACTGAAACCCAGCACCTTACTTTAAAAGGTTCTGTGTGTGTGTTTGTACGGCGGAGGGGGGGAAAGTCTGAAGGGGGTAGGGTGTTATACGTAAAAATAACTTCTAGCCACTGTTGCACTGCAAGATGAAACCGAATTCTGGCCTCCGTTTCACTGTTTGAATCTGCCAGTCCGAAGGGCCGTTCCGATCCGTGCCGCCACACCGGGGGCCCCGCTCCCGTTCGTGCCCGAGCGGCAGCGCCATCGCGGTGTGTGAGGGCGGCGCGCCCCGCGCTCCCCCTCCCTCGCTCCGCTGCCGACTGCGGGCGGGGGGGAGAAAAAACCCGACGGGAAACGCCGAGAAAGCCCTTGCGCTGCCCGCGAGGAATCGGCCCTTTGCTGCAGGTGTAAAGGACCGCGCTCCTGCTGCGGTGGAGGAGGGTGAGGCCGAGGCCCGAGCGGAGCGGGGTGAGGCCGAGGCCCGGCCGGCAGGAGGGGAGCGGGAAGGGGCGGGAGGGCCGCGAGGGGCGGGGGCGCCTCGTCGGGCCCGGCACGTTTGTGCCATTGCAGTTTGATTAATGTACAGTTTTTGAGGTCTTTTCATACCCTCAAGACCGGTGTTAGACCTGCTGCTGGTATCTTCAATCAGAATATCTATTCTGTGTTAAAAAATTCCTCAAAAGTCAGGTTCATTCAGCGTCTTCAGTTTGCTTTAAAATACATGACGGCATTCAAACACTTTTATTAGATTTTGTGATGGGTTTTTAATTATACTCGAGTCACTCTTGAACTCTTTTCTGTTAATGCAGTTTTTCAGATGTTTTTTTTGTCTTCATGTTTTGTCTGCTTTGGGACGAGCAGGAAGAGAAAAATAGGAGTAGGACTGGGGATAAAATCCTGCCACTTTGTAATGCTCATTGGGCATGCTCATAGATTGCCCTCAGGATTTAAAATTTAAATAAAACTCAGGCCTTGTCCTTGTTTAGAAGGATCTTTTTTGGCAAGGAAAGCAACTCCAGTCTTCTGCACTGTTAGGAATATTTCTGTACCTCTGTACTTACTTGGACATTTTGAGAGTCCCTCAGGTTCACTGTTGTCATGTCCCTCTGTTGTCATGTCCCTCTTTAGGAATCCCGTTTTGAGTGTTGTTCTCTTCACGATCAATCAAAACCTGGATCAATCTAAATTTGACTCATGAACATTGTAGAATGTAGTGGCATCCCAGTTAGAGTAAGAAACCTGCTAGGGTGTCATATTAGGATTAAATTCCTTGGGTCTGGAAAGAGCAACCACTTTGCTTCCTTGGTTCCATAATAGTTCCACATTTTGTGAATTTAAGCTTTTCATGGAATAAAAGAAGCTTGGACATGTATTAAGCATCACAATGTGTAATACTGTAGTAAAAACAGGAACCTAAGTGCGTGAAAGTAGAGCAGTTTTGTGAACAGTGGGGCCCTGCTGCCATGTTGTGCTCTCCTGTTGGAATTCTGGCTTTAAGTGAGATCCTGTTGTAGAAGGCACTGTCCCTTCCAGAAGCGCCTGTGCCCTGCAATTCCCTGCACGGAGAGCAGGGAGGCTCTGGTTGCAGCCTGGCTGTGGGTATCCCTGTTTGCCTTTGAGGCTGCCAGGCTCTTGGCACAAGATGCTGCACCACAGACCCTGCTCAGGTCAGACCCCACTCAGGTCAGACCCTGGCTGCCTCAGGGCACTTGAAATCATCATCCGTGACAGTCTGGCCCATGGTGTCCAGGGGCTCAAAAGCCCCCAGAGAGACATTCCCATTGACTCACAATAGGATAAGGGAAGAGGGCTGTGCCTGTGTGATCTCAGGGAAAATGCAGTGTAGAGCTGGAAAAGGAGAGGAGGGTCTCTCCAGAAACCCCAGGCAAGGCAGGCAGGAACTTCTCTTTAAATACTGCAACCCCACAGCTTTTCCTTGGAAGTGCTAAAATATTCTTGGATGCAGTTTTGCTTTGGTTTTAATGTCAGTTGACCCTTAGAGACCCCAAAAGCCTTTTCCTGAACAGACCAGGCAGCTGTGTCCTTTCTTTAGAGAAACTCTGGGCTGTTCCTGAGTGGGTAAAGTGTCTCTTGGAGTGACTCCCATTAAAGGCCAAGGAAAGGGCCCCTGGGCAAGGAGGGAAGATGAAGATCTGCTGTGTCCCACACAGACTGAGTTACTGATGTTTTAGATGAAGAAACTCTGCCCAGCCTTTTTGCCTTACTTTTGGCCCAATTTGACTCTTTCAAATTTCCAACTTTAGTTGGTTAGGGGATGGTTCTTTGCTTTCTGTGTTAAACCTTTATGAAACATTCTTAAATAATTTCTGTTTTCAACTGCAGACTGCATTTAATACACTTATTAATTCTGTCATTTGCTCATTGATTTCTGGTTTGGTCAGAGAGCAATAGTGCATCTGTCTGTTTACAACTGGCCATATTGCTTGGCAATGCTTATTTTTAAAATAAAACATTTTAATTCTTAGTATAGTAAGAAGAAGTTAAACTAAAAATAACTCACACCGATCTCTATAAATTCAGACTTCAGATCACATTATCTTAAATGGCTAATGCAGTAGGTATAGTGCAGTAATAGACCAGCAGTTTATTAATCTTATCTTTCAAGCATGAAATACCTTGCTCTAAGAAGTTTGATCCTGATAAGAAGTTTGATCATGATAAGAAGTTTGATGGTAAAAGAAAAGGAAAAACTGATTAGATTTGGACTGAGAAAATAGGAGAACAATGTAGCTGAAATTTTTCCAACTTAGTGTTGGGAATGTACCAGGAAAAGTCACTTAGAAACTGAACTGCGTAATTCTAAACTTGTACTACAAGCACCCATTTGTTTTGGAACACAAAGGCTGTCAGCAGCAGACTCACCAGGAGCTGGGTGAGCCAGGTAAGAGGGAATTCCTCTGCACAGAGCTTGGATGTGTTTTCCATATGGCTTCAAGCTCTGGAGTCTGTTCCTCCAGATAATGAAGCGATTTCTCTGGGTGGCAGTGGGTGAGGCCCAAATCCCTGAGCATCAAGAAAACAAACCCAGAAAACTACATTTAAAAAAACCAAAAACGGAGCTCAGAACCTCTACACACATCTTGGTAACGGGGAAGGGGTTATTCATGGGCAATGCAACTTTTGAACAAACTTTGAGAAGGTTCTCTTCACTTATTGGAGCCTTTTCTCGATCAATTGGCTTTCACACCACTTTCATCCACCATCCTACCGTGTCTCCTTGAGGTGCTGTAGGAAACCATTTGCCAAGCTGAAACCTCCTGCTCGTTGGAGCAATGATGCAGGTGTTCTTTGAAAACACTTTAGTTGCAACGTAGCCCTGTTAAAATTAAACAGAAACCCCCTTTTTGTTGCAAACAGAGAAAGAGAAGTGGATTGCTAGAGAGAGGCACTGGTTAAAACAAAGGCTTTGTAGAGTGCAAATAGTCATAGGGAAAGAAAAATATTGGTCCTTTCAATTATATTGTTTCGGTAAATGTGTCATGGAGGCTGTTACCTCTTCCAGTAATGCCACGTGTGTGATGTGTTCTCCTGCTTAAGGCAGGTGAAGGAATTTGCTGCTGGAAAGCTCAGTGCACTCACAGTACAGCAGAACCAGTCCCATGGCTGCAGGAGCACATTGTTCTTGGAGATTATTTTAAAGGGGAGCTAATTCCTGGCCTCAAAGGGGAGGCTAGGAAGCTGTTAATGCTGTTGTGTCAAACCTTACATTCAGGCTTTATCCTGACCTGGCTTTCATGTGCCTGATGCATCCACCTTATAAAGATGGATAAGCTTTAACATTTCACATATGTGTGTCACCTCTGAGACAGAGCACTTCTCTCTTTCACATTTGAGTGGGCACATGGAGTTACATCCCTGCCAGAAGGGACATTTCACCCATGCAGTCCCCACCCCTCTGGCATTTTCTCTCTGTGATCCTGCAGAAATCACTAAGAGGTCACTTGGTGACAAGAAAGACTCAAAACCATTTAATCTGTCCAGCCTTAAGAGTTTTATGAGAAAGTG